CTGCTGCTGGTGCTGCGCACGGACCGCAGCATGGCCAAGCGGGGCTTCACCGCTGCCTACGTCGGAGGTGAGGTGGCGCCTTCACGGAAATTGCCCTGTTTTGTGCAGCCTGACGCAGCGTTTCCTTAAAAAGGGCAGTGGGAGGAAGGGGCTCGTGAGGAGCTGCCCTAGCACAAGAGGGTCCCCATCTTCCTGACGGTGCTCATGGAGCTCCCACCGTCAGGTCCCCTTGAAAAATAACCATTTTGAGGGGGAAAGGCGAGGCGATGGTTCAATGCCCCGTCTCCCCCCATGCCAACAGTGGTGCCCATGAATGTCACCTGCACCCGGACAGACTTCCACATCCAGATCCCTGTGCAGTCGCTGGCCCCACTGGAGAGGCACCGGCTCTACCTGGGCAGCCCGTCCTGCGCCGCCCACGTGGCCGGCTCCAGCTTTAGGATACACGCCAGGTTCGACGCCTGTGGCAGCGAGGCACAGGTAGGGCCGGGCGCATCGCGGCGGGAGGGGAGGGCGCCCGCGCCGCCCCGCGCATCACGCTCCCACCGCCTTGCAGAGGCGGAACGGCACCTCTGTGATCGTGGGCGTCCTCTACCTCAACTTCTCGGCGGGCGGCCGCGAGGACGTGCACCGCTACGAGGTGCAGTGCGAGCCCAAGAGGAAGGAGGCCCGGGCCAACCTGCTGGTGGGCCCCGAGCCGCAGCAGCCCAGCCCGCGCGCGGAAAACCTTGCAGAGGGCCAGCGGCGCGAGCCGGAGCCCCCGCGCGACAGCCGGAGCCAGGACACCAGCGACGTGGTCTTCATCAGCATCTGCGTCCTCGCGGGGCTCCTCATGGTCATCGCTGTGGTGGGGCTGGTGCTGCTCTGAGGCTGCTCTGTCTCAGCCCTCCTGCGGGACACGTGCCAGGGTTTTCCTGCAGACGCCCTCCTCCTCCTGGAGAAGCTCCCAGCAGTTTCTGCCTTCCCTGTTTTGCTTCCCAGCATCCCTCGGTATGTCCCTTTGGCAGCTCCCGTGCTCCACGGCTCTTCCTGCACCGGCTTCCGCCTGTCCTGCTGTCGGGAGAGCAACGCGGCTCGCCCGGGGCTGTGAATCCTGCTCTTGGTTATTTTGAGCATCTGAGCTGCAACCCAATATAGCAGTATCTTCCGCAAATCTCTTCCTGCCTGGGTTTATGTGGGCACCCTGGAGCCGTGCATGAGGTGGCTGTGGGTGCTGACATCTCCCTTGGGCAAACAGGGATCTATAGCAGTTATGTGGATATTTCCAGTGGTGTTTTCCAACATCCATCTGGAATATTTGCATAGCACCTGCACACTTTTGAGCACCTGATTTGGGTTTATTTTTGCACATAATCTGTTCACCTCTCTCTCTCTACAAACTCACCTAATTGTTTTAACCCTAAAAACCAGTTTCTTTCCATCTATGCTTCCCTCCTTCCTACCCCAGCTTTCCAGCATGTCCTAGTGACCAGCATTAGCTCTGCACTGATGTCGTCCTTGCAGCCCAAAACCAGGAGCAAATTCTGCTGCAGCTTCAGGCTCCCGCGTTGCCTGCACTGAGTTTTGCATGGACAGACAGGGATGAGGCTCCTTGGGGCTGGGGTTTTTGGAGAAAGCAAAGCTTCACCATGTGTTCCTATCCCAGGGTCTCTCTGAGGAGCAGCCTCTGGGCTTCCTGCAGCATCTCACCTGTCTCGAGGATGAGCCCCTGCTGCAGCTCAAGCGAGGCCGAAGGATGGGGAGCTCAGGCCTTGGGGACAGGCTGCTGAACGAAATAAATGCCCAGCACCTGCCAAATGCCATGGCTGAGCTCAGGATTTGCCAGCCCCAGAACTGGGTTAGCAAGAACCTTGTCCAGGCATCCCCTGGGGGCTGCAGGGGAAGCTTTGCTGGGATGATGAGCACTCTGTCTGGAAGGACAGGGTCTTGCCTGCTCCCTCACTCTTTCACCAAGCAATCTGCAGCAAGATAAAGTGCCTCTTAGCTGTGCTTGCTGGTGGGGAAGGGAAAATGCTGGTGCCTTCCAAACCCAGCAGATCTGCCCTTCAGAAGCTACGGTCAAAAACCAGCTTTGGCAGGGACGATTTTCCAGGAGTCACTTCTCCTCTCTCTGCCTCTCCTAGTGCTCATCTCCCCCTCAGGCCCCCACTTCTCAACAGGTACTACTGCTAAGAGGCAAGTTCCACCCGTCCCAATATGCGTCTCTCTCTAGCCAGGTTGATCTCAGTAAATGGTTTGTGAACAGACACTACTTTTGTTGCTTACCAGTAGGGAAGGACTATGCCTGTCACAGGCTTGGAGAACAAGATGATTTGTGGTACTAAGGAAAGCAGAGTGATAAAATGAAAGGACAGATTTCCAATGTTTAATAACTAGTTTATTTCTGGTTCTGTTTTTCGATTTGCTTAAATTTATTTACAGTCATTCTGAAGCATTTGTTCCCTTTGGAGGAAAAAAAAAAGCTGTTAAAAGAAGTATTTTCCTTACGAGCTCATTGTATATAGAAATTTTGCTTCAAGTGTTCTCATATTACAGTACAAACAAGCACCACATTTAAATCATGAACGAGGTATGTAAGTTTGACTGCGCTCTTCGTTAGGTAGCAAAGAGGCACTGGACAGCACCTACATTCCAGGGTGTTTCCACCCCAGAGCTTCAGAAAATGCCCACAATTGTTAGGACACTGAGGCTACGGAATGATGGATAGCAACTCACTGAAACCCATTTCATGTCCAACTTTGGGAATGGGAGCAAAGGGAAGGATAAGCAAAGGGAAACCTGGGTGGTGTGGCTAGACAGCCACCACCCGCCCCATTCAGTAGCCAGCTCCAGCAGATATGGCTGATTTAGGGCTAATAAGAGCACACAGTTACCCACTGGTGCTCTCCTCCCTTAGAGGAATCACTCTGAATCCCCAGTACTTCTATTGCTACAGCACAGAGCTGCTCCTTTATGTTTACAGCTGAAGATCCACATCAGGGATGGAGCCAAACTGCAGTAAGACAAACGGTGGTAGAAGTGAGAAACATGCGAGTCAGCGAAGGTGGCTTTGTAGCAGGCAAATATACAGCACAGCAGAAGAAACTTCTCTTGCAGGAAGCCCACGTAGATTTCCCCCAGGTCAGATTTACAGCACTGCTTCCATCGTTGTGGGCTCCTGTCGTGGTCCTGTTCACGAGGTGGTGCCCAGTGAGCTGCACTGTCAGCACTTCTGTGCTCCTGAGACAAACAGAGGGCTCCCCGCTCCGCAGAGACGCGGGAATGCACGGAGCTCGCGCTCAGTGTCACTTTTTATGGCTCTGTACAAACGCAGGGACAGGGAGCGCGCCCGTCTTGACGTGCACCCGCGTTTCGGGCTTGTGCGTTAACGAGAAGACGAGAGCCCGCACGGTCCTGCGATACGGAGCGCTGATGAGCCGGGAGCAGAGATGAAAAGCTTCCCGCTCGATATTTTCAGCCAGCGGGTGATCAATCTGAGAACAGCAAAGTATAAAATTAGATCTTTACATTTAATAAGGAGACCAACTGATTGAAAGCGGAGTTCGGTGCTTTTCTGAGTCTCTTCATTAATCAGCTGAGATTCAAGGAAATCTACTTCCCATCACAAGTGAAACAGGAATAGCAATTTAATTCTACCCTAGCAATTAAGGAACAAGGCAAGTGGTCAGTAGCAGGGAACACGCTCGTGTCTCCAGCTGGGTGGCAGTACTTTGCCATCACCACAGGAAACTAATCTGCAACTAGCTCTGGGGATCAAGTTCAACCGCAATTATCAGCTGCACCGCACTGTCTCCATACAGCTACTTTTGATCTTGCTGATATAAGGCACCTTGGATACTATTTTAAACTCAATTCTAACAGCAACCCTAAGACATGCCAAACACTTGGCAACTCAGCCTGGTGCTATAAAGGGAAATGTGGGCTCTGTGTGTGTGGAAGGAGGTGTAATTAAGAATGCAGAAAAGGGATTTGCTAAATGTTAATTATGTAGTTATTGCTTCAACATGCTCTAAAACCTGCAATTTAGCACAGCTTAGGAAAAAAATCCCCTGCCCATCAAGAAAGGGTTCTAATTTCAGCTCTGCCTTTTTAGAATAGGAAGCTCCCATGCTTTTGGATACAGGAGATTCTAGCTTGCCAAGGAGCATTCTTACAAGTCCTTTGCCCTCTCTTACTCTCTTTTTGCTACAGCTTAATTTGTCCCTGTGCTGAGCTGCACTAGAAGCCCTTTTGTCTCCATTCAGCCCTACTCTACCTTTGTCTCAGCCTTCCTCACGTGTCCCTGCCGTCCGTTTGCTGGGCCTCGGTGGCTCCCCTGCCTATATGTGTTGTACATCCTGCTGATGTACACACTCTGTTTGCACACACGGTGGTAGCTGCGAGCCAGAGGAGCAGCTCCTCGCCCCACTTTTAGATGAGCTGTGTTCAGAGGGGATCCTGCCTGGTTCTCCCCTAACACCACTCGCTTTAGGGTGACACTATATCCCTCATGTCCCATAGGGCTACACTATCACTCTTGCCTAGACACACTGCCCCAAAACTGGACTTGACCAGCAGCCTGGGATATTCCAGCTCTCCATAAAAATCATTCTGACCTTCCCACCGTTTTGCTCTGCTCAGCCCAGAAGGACTAGAAGTTGCAGAAGTTTCTTTCATTGCTAACAACACACAGGTTTTTAACCTTGCTCTGAAACTGTTGAGTGCCTACCACTTGACTTGCCATTTAAAAGATAATTAATGAATACACTAAATTATATTTATTACAGAGTTTCATAGAACAAGTGAACTGTTCATTAAGCCTTGCAGCAAATCTTGTTTGTTTATGTAAACATACCAGAGGGATCTGGTATTTAGCACCACTTCATATACTGTCAACCTTGCCTCTCTGATTTTGCAATAGTTTTCAAATTACAAGTGCTTAATTACTTAGATGTAAAAGGTCCCAGTGTTGCTGTCACAGCTGTTAAGTAGTGGAGAAAACTATGTTCTACTAATTTCCTTCTTACATAGCCTAGCTGCAGTAGATGTGCAATGTCCCATTTGCTAGACATGCAAGTGAGAGCAATACACACCTCTCCTATAACCATGTTCACTTGGTCAAGAACAACAACAACAATCTACCTTGAAAACAAAGCTCCTTAGAAAACATCCAGGGAATTACAGAAACCAAAAACAGGTCATGCAGCCTTGTCCCGAGCCTGCAGGCAGGAGACCATCTTTATAGCAACTATGTCCAAAAATGGTTTCTCTAACTTGTTCTTACAGAATGTTATTCTTTCAGAGACAAGTGGAATGAACTTGTCCTACCTCTAGATCCAGGGCTTTGCAAAGCAACTTCCGCGCGTTCTTCCTGAAAGCCTCAGTCTTGGGATCACTCCTGACTTCTATGGAGGGTTTGTTTGAATGGTCTTTGATGAAAGTTCGCCACTCCGTGTAAACTCCCTTTGCAAGGCTGGCCACATCCTGGTCTGGATGTTTGCGCATCTTATTCACTGTGTGGCCTGGAAAACAGCAACAGCTCATCCAGCTTTGGTAGGGGGACTCGTGTCTAACAGGCACAAGTGAAGCTCAAGTAGCCTCACACACATTGTAATGCAGGCAACATCAGCAAAATACCCAAGGCACAGATGTAAACATGAAATCACTAGGAGCAAACCCTGAATTCTTATTCATTGATTTCCTACACAGAACAGGTGAGGCCGTCTCTGGAAAACAGTGTCCACTTCTGGCATCTCCAGTATGAGAGAGATATGGAGCTACTGGAGCAAGTCTAGCCCACGGCCCTTGAGATGATCACAGGACATGGAACATCTGAGAAGAGGCTGAGGGACAGGGGACTGCTTAGCCTGGAGAAGAGCAGGCTCAAGGGGGACCTTATCAGTGTGTATTAGTATCTGAAGGGAGGGTGTAAAGAAGATTGAGCCAGATTCTTTTGCAGCGGTGCCAGTGACAGGATAAGAGGCAACAGGCACAAACTGAAACATAAATTCCTGAATATAAGAAAAGACTTCTTTGCTTTGCGGGTGCCTGAGCACTGGAGCAGGCTGCCCAAGGAGGTGGTGGAGCCTCTATCCCTGAAGATATTCAAACCCCAGTGCAACACGGCCCTGGATAACCTGCTCTAGCTGACCCTGCTTGAGCAGGGGAGCAGGAGCAGGTGATCTCCAGAGCTCCTTTCCAACCTCAAAACTTCCGCAACTTTTGCCTGAACAGGTACCAAGCAACTGAGTTATTCATATGAAAATCACTCTTTCAAGTCCCTAAAGTGTACAGAGACACATAGTAGGGGGGTATAAACATTTCTACATGGATACTAGATTTGATGCAAATGTTGCAATATCTAAAAGGAATACTTTTTTGACTAAAAAAAAACCTACCTTAAGGAGGCCCATGCAGCTAGTGATGTTTACAGTGCTCCATAGCATTTTAATACGAGAACACCGCAGTGCCTCCAAGCAGAATCCTTCCTATTGACACGAGTAATTTGTTCTTCATACGGACACCCCAGGTATTACTCCAGGCTCTGCCAGCACAGAGAGACTTTCCTTCGAGAGGAGATACAAAGGATCCTTTCCACACGGACGTTTTCCTGACCTCCTGGCTGGTCACACAAGCAGCAGAGCACACCCTGCACTAACGCTGCTGGCCGGAAGATGTCACTGTTCCTCGGCTGCGACTTTCCTGCGGCCCAGCAGCGTTCAGGAGAGCGCGGAGGAAAAACTCGGGGAAAGGCTGAACAAGCTAAAGATGTCAAACTACATGGCAACTCGAAAGTAAGAAGAAGGGGACAGATCTCATCTCCTTTTCCACAGCAAGGAGGGCTCTTTGAGTAGAGATCCAGCTGCTCTAATGGCTAAGAAAGGCGAGAACAACCTTTTCTCGCTGCGGATGCTCTGTGCCACGTGTGATCTTTGCAGCGGTGAAAGGCAGGGTCCACGGGGTCTCACATTCTTCCTCTCCCCAAGTCCCGTGCAGAGGGACAGGCGCAGGGCTGTGCTATGTGCCTGGAGCTGCCCATCCGCTGGGGACTTCTCACCGTGTGGATGCACCAAGCACTTCTGGGCCGTTAGGGGAAGGGACAACACAGGCAGGTGCCCGTGAAGCGCTCTCCAAACACTGCCGCGGGAAGAGCGATACGGTATTTGGTGACGAGCAGGCAAACTTCGTCTACCAGGAGGAACTCCTGGGTTTATTTCAGTACCAGTTATGAAAACTGCTGGACACCGGTAAGTTTTTATTCAGTGTTTGGATAAATCATTTGAGACTGCTGCTACAAAATCACCTCTATACTATTTTTGTTGTTGTTGTTAAGAAATCCACAATGATCAGGTCTCTTTGGCCTGACAACCCCAGCAGCGAGCGCTGGGGATGGCCCGCGCTCTGGAGCGGGCTACGAGACGCACCTATTTTTGTAGAAAGCAGCACCTCCTTGGACGGGATCTTCTTCTTCAGCTCCTCCAGGGCTTCCAGCAGGTTCTCCTTGGGCTGCCCCGGCAGCTCGAGCACAGACTTCCACCGTTTTATGTCCTCCACGACCACCACTCTCTGCGAAAAGGGGAAAACCGTTAGAACGCGGGGGGAACAGCCTTGCGGCAGGGAGGGCCCGGACCCCGCCACGTGCCTTGAGCGACTT